GGCACTGTGTCTACTGTAGCCAGATGTGTTTTGTATTCACTCATTAGAGGAAATTTTCATGTACAAATCTCAACCTAACCATTACGATTGGGGCCCCAGTCTTAATGGAGCCATTCCTAAAGGGGGCTGGTCGCAATAGGTCCCACTTTTAATGGACCCCAGTCCTAATGGGAAGTTTTGGTAGGGGCCCATCTGACCTGGAACCTGAGTAGGTGCACACTGTTGGCTCACCTTACAACACTGATCACTTATTTTCACCCTCCCATTGATAGCTCTAAATTTTACTTATTTTTGAAGAAATTTTTCCTTAGATAATACAGCTCTCTTTAATTTAATTCCCATAAGTTTTCATTCGTTATGTTAACTAGGAATATATGCATACAGTATATAGTTGTACTGTTGCACAGGTCCTGAACAATAGTGACCAGCCTGTGCTGTGGTAAATGTGTTCAGTACAACAATGAATACTGTTGATGAGTGATATGTCGTGACGTATTATTGTATTGTGTTGATGGCGTAACTAATGTTGGTGTTTATTTCTTTACAGGTAAGACAACCCGTGCGAGGAACAGTTACGGCTCCTCTCAGGTATAGTGCATCGTGCTCAGTTTGCTTCCTCCCCTCTCTCTCTTTCTCTCTCTCTCTGTCTTTCTGTTTTCCTCTCTTTCTCTGTCACTCGCTCGCTCGCTCGCTCGCTCTCACCGTGTGGGAGAGCACCGACCTCTCCCACCTTAAAACTGATGCCACACACCGCTGGTCTTCAATCCACGTCTTCACCAGGGGGGGTGGAGGAGGGGGGAGTGTGTCCCACGCTGCTGGTGCCGCCCCTCCGCGCCTCCTCCTCGCCCCACCACTCCCCACCACTCCCCTTTCCCGAGTTCTTCCCCTTCCTGAGCTGGCCTTTCCTCTGTAAACCCTTCCACCGACGGCCCCTCCCTCACCTGTTAAATCCTGTTGGACCCTCACCTGCTAAAGTCCAGCCCTTCGTACCCTCCCCTCGTCCCCCTCGTCTCCCTCCAGTCCTCCCCCGGCACCTGCCCCCCCCTCCCGCACCCCCTTGAGGGACGCTGCCACGGCTTCTCTCTCCAGCAGCGTCGCCCTCGCTCCATGTCTTCCGCATCATGGAGGGACTTTGTGTGAGGGCGTGTAGCTTCACCCACCCCAGCCCTCACTCCCTCTCCTCCTTCTCTGAGTTCATTGGGTGCTAAACTCTCCACTCAGTCTTGGGATTCTGGCACCCTCGTACATCCGACCAGCCTCACACCCTTAAGTCCCACGTCTCATGGCAGGGTTCGGCAGCCAAATTAACCCCCCCCCCCAGGACCAGACTCAAATTTTCATACCATTATATTTTAGGGGTTGGTTAAGTTAGGTTAGGTTGAAGCAGGTTCCAGGTGTGGGTCTGAGTTCGAGTCGGGTATGGGTGAAGGGTGTCGATGTGTGCGTCTCCGCGATGGTCTTGTGTGTGGTTGTCATCCTCACGTCCACACCTGAACCTTCCCCCCTTCTCCCCTCACCCAAATCTGGCCTATAACCTCAATTGGTCCCTATATTACACCCACCTCACCCACCATATCCCTCACCCACCTCAACTAACACCTGCATATGACATGACCAATTATAAAGTTGTTTTTTTCCATGACTATTTGTGGTAAGTTTTCGCCTCATCTCTTATTGTAAATGATGGTCTTGTTGGGTTTCCTTGGGTTAAACTATCATTCCCTCGTGAAATTGGTGTTAATTCAGAGTATAATTTGATAAATTTTCAAGCCATCTCCGTCAGAGGTTTAGTGGTGTGGGGAGGAGGTGGGACTGAAGTATGCTGTAATGCTGGATGTATAGGTTTATGAAGTTAATTAAGACTTATGAAATTACTCAGATACTGTGTGTGTGTGTGTGTGTGTGTGTGTGTGTGTGGTCTTATATCCCTGTAAGTAAAGTTTTATATTGTAAGTGTTGTTTATACTCACACTTGGCGCTACATCATAGTAAATGTCATATGGTTGTTGCCACTCATTTCTGTGTGGTGTTGTGTCACGCTATGCAGTATGTATGGTTTTCAATATATATGGTTTATATGACACTATATCCCTCACTGTAGGGTTGATCGTTGTGTCCTGGTTATAAATTGAGGTTATCACTGCCAAGGAACAGTGCATCATATCACTATAAGTGGATGAGTTAAGGGGAGCAGTGACGTTTTATCACTGTACTATCTAACGATAACCTTTCCCCCTATTGCATCACTGTACAGTACGTGACGCTCTATGGGACTGCATGAGGCCCACTATTGTTCCCAGGTATATATGTCATCACGGCACTCACCTGCTAACCTCCCCATACCCCCCATTGGGAGTGCCATCGTCAGTGACAATAGTTGACACATGTGTGTCTCGCCGTCACGTGTAGGGGAGTACGGGACACAGGTGTGACTGACACTGTTTAAGTCGTGAAACTTTACCCACTTTTGTGTTCAGGATGTTGATGGCGGTCATGATAGTGTTATATAGTGAAGCTAGGATTGTTGAAGTGAGTTACCACACTTCCTGAACACACACACACACACACACACACACACACACACACACACACACACTCACACACAGAACACATGCAGCAGTCATACAACACACGAACACATTCCCATTTAACACGCTTCGTTGCTTGTGGTTTGCTCTTAACTTTCCCTAAGTTTTTCTATTGTGAAAACCTGATTTTTTATATACGATATTCTGTTATATATATATATATATATATATATATATATATATATATATATATATATATATATATATATATATATATATATATATATATATATATATATATATATATATATATATATATATATGTGTGTGTGTGTGTGTGTGTGTGTGTGTGTGTGTGTTTCAGTCAATTTTAAGTGTTATATTTTTACTGTGTAGTGTAAGAGTAAAACACTGGCGGTTGTGGCTGGTGAGGGTGACGGTGGCGGTGTGTCGGAGCGCTTGGTGTTAGCGGCGGCAGCGGCGGTGGCTGCGTCTGCTTGCGGGCTGTTGTCGTCCGCCGCCGCTAGTACCAAGCGCTGCAACCTGGCTCTCATGCAACACCACACTCCCTCGCGCGCACTCACACACACACATTCAGTCACACGCACACTAACATGCACGTATATGCTAGCACACACACACATACACACGCACATGCGCACACGCATACAGGCCTCTGCTAATACTTCTACAGGCACACTCACACTTGTATGTACATGTAGAAACACACACACAAGCACTCATATACGGACAGACATAAGTCGGCAGACATGTCCCTGCACCTTGTCTGGCGTGGAAGGAAGCCGGGAAGAGCAAGTTGAAGGAAAGATACGAAAATGAGAAAGGGTGAGAGGGAGGTAGGGAAGGGGAGAGTTAGGGATGGGAAAGAAAGGTGGGGAGAGGGAGTGAGAAATGGGGAAGGAGGGAGAAGGGGAAAGGGAGGGATAGGAATGAGTAGGAAGAAAGGTGGGAGAATGAGGGAGATGAAGAAAGGGAGTGAGAGAAGGAGTAAGAATGGGGCCAGACAGAGGAGAGACTCAGTCAGTAGAGGCAGTGTACTCCATTTTAAAGAGTGAATAATTGTGCAGGTTTTTAGGTAGTGTTGGGGCGGCGGTGTGGCAGGTGGTGGGGCAGGAGGGGCGGGCTGGGTGGCTGGGGCGCAGGCGTGCTCACCTCCTCCGGCGGGACTCATGGTCACACCACCCGCACACCCAGCTTGTAGGTCACACTCACACCATCGGGGGCTTTCCGGGGTTCCCCGCCCCCAGCCTCGTACCCTGTCTGACTCCCCCCCTCCCCAGCGGCGGGTGTTGGTGAGGAGCGTGGTGGAGGTGCAAGAGAGGGACGCATGGCGGCCGGTGCCCCTCACCCGCCACACCCCACCGCTACCACAGCCACAGTCTGACCACGGGGGGCGGAGCGCCCGTACCTCCACCCCCACCCGCCAGCCACGCGGCCGACGCACCATTGGCTCACACTATTTTAATTACAGAGCCAGTTTGTGGGGACGTCACGTGAGGCGAGGCCCGGGTGGCTGGGCGGGGCTAGCGTAGTCTCGGCCGGGTCTGTGGCCACCCGGGGAGGAGCCAGGCGGCCAGAGGCGGGGCCACCTGCACGGAAGGCCGGCTGGTCCCGCCCCGTCTACCGGTCCCGCCCCTGAGGGGAGGGGCGCGAACAGAAGCGGCGCCGCGTCCCCCGCCCGCCTCAGTTCCGCCGCGTCTGTCTAGTGAACTACACGCTGCGCCCGACCTCCCGCGCCTGCACGCCCACACTAGTGCTTCAACACACGCCCACGCACGCCCACACCCACTCCAGCAATAGTGTGTGATAGTTGGCTCAAGTTTTTACCGGGAAAGTTGTGTGTAGTTTAGGCAATGAGCCGACCAGTGACCCGACATATCGAAAAATGTGGAGTGACGAAAACAGGGAGGAGGGCCCCATACCTCGGACCGTCTGTTGCGGAGGAGTAACACCAGCGGACCCGCTGACGAGGGTGGTGTCTGTGTCTTTCATACCACTAAACCACCAGCCTACACCAGGCACGCAACGCCTCGCACCACCCCTCACACTCCCCGCTTGTTCCGATTGCAAGCCGCCGCGGCCGCCGACATCGCCGCTGCCGCCGCCGCCAGTGCCGCCGTCCGCGCTGCGGTGGCGAGTGTTGAGGCCGTGACGGAGAATGGAGCGAGCTGTGGCAGCCTGCTCACCAACCGTTCAGTTATAGCGGCTGTGGCAAGCGAGGACGACGGTTTGACCGAGTGAGCAACGGCCCTTAAGGTGCGGTGTCTGGCGTTGATGAACGCCAAGAGCGGCGGCCGACGGCGGCGGCGGGGCCGTGGGGAGCTGTGGCGACGGTGTGGAGCGTGGTGGGCGTCTGGGTGGACCGGTGGGGCAGGCGGGGGTGTGCAGGACAGTGGTGCTGGTGCCGGCAGGCCGCGCTGCTTCGCCACGCAGGTTGCTGCTCGTGGCGGTCGCTGGACCTCCGCGCCCGCCCGCCCGCCACCGACCCGTGGTACGGCACCACCGCCCGACCCGCTCCACCCGACCCGACACTGGTGCTCCCTGCCGCAGCCAGGGTGATGGGGACTTACCCCACAACACTGCAGGTGCAGGTGTTGAGCCTCACCACCCACTTAGGATGTATGGTAGTGAAGTGTGACGTGTCCAGTGCTCGCGTGATTATAGTGTGAAACAAGTGGTAGTGATCGGCCAGCCGGAGGACTCAGCCACTAAAGGGTAAGATGCTCGCTATTGTTGTCTTGTTGTGTCAGGTGTGTAGGGCCTCCACGCGAATCCCCATGCCAACTCCCTTATCCTTCCACCCTCATAAGCTAACTTTCTCCATTCCCACCTTAAGACCGTCCGAACTACTCTCCGTCTTTCATACTCTCCGAATTATTCGATCACCCGTACCCACTTTCTCTACGTGAGTCACAGTTGTCTTGGCCGTCGTGCAGCGCGGTAGTGAGGAGTGCAGTTGTGTTTTAGTGGACTTGGTGAGGAACACATCCAAGTAAAGTCGGGGATCCCAAGTCGACGACCATCCCCGACGATTGCCGCAACTTCGTCAATGTTAGAGAAATGCCACGAACATGACCGCTAAACCATTCAGTTTTTTTTTAAATTGGACGATCCGAATCTCACTTATAGTTCTTAGTATAGTTGTACTTTGGTTTGGTTGGTTCACATCGTCGGAAAACTGAAGGATGTAGTGTTCGTGGTATTTTTTAACATTGGTCATTTTGCACGATTGCCAATACCGGCGAACAGAACATGGGGTCGGTCAGTAAGGGTGTGCAACCGTACACAGAGAATGGGGTGCGTGTGGCGGAGGTGCTGCTGGCATCGGCAGCTCAAGACGAACAGTGTGTGCCCCTCACCCTCCCCCCCGCCCCCCTAACCCCTGCTCACAAAAAAAGGTCGCACAGAGTATCATTCGCAAGTGGGTTGACCTCTTCCCTCCCCTCCCATCCCCTCCCCCCCCACACCTCCTCTCCCCATCGCCACTCCCTTCATCGTGTTTGTGGGTGTAGGGAGGGGAAGGGACTTCTCTCCCGCTGGACTTGGTGGTTTTCGAGATTTTCCGTCTTAGGAGTCTCGGGGACTAACTTAGCAAATTCACTTGATACGTGTTTTATGATGGCGTTAATTCAGGAATCTGGCGACGACAAAAACACTGCTTCAGGAATTTATTGCGGAATTGCCAGTAGTGAGTAGTGATAGTATTTTATAAGCGTCTTGGGCGGAGTAGTGCCCTAGAGTTTTTCATGACCGCCGCCATGGAGCTGGACAGCGTGTGCGTCCTGCGTGTCCGTCCGTCCGACGTTTGGGTGTTCACTTGCTGAATGATTTCCTTCAGTTTTCCACAAAAGATACTGACACTTGGCACAAGCATGTTGGAGGGGTAGGTACATAGTGTAGTGTGGTCATTTCGGTGGACTTTATTCAACTTTTACCGTGTTTGGGACTCAGACTTTGACGAAATGTTGTATACTGGGGAACCTACTTTGTGGAGTCAACTTTGTTTTGAGTTTTCTAAGACTCATTCTGAGACTTAAGGAAACATGTTGGAGTGATAGTAGATATACATACAGTTGTGTGTGTCATGCTGCAGGATTTGTACAAGTTTAACCGTTTTTGGAACTTAGAATATTTTTGTCGAAGCTTCGGATGTGGAGAACCTACCCAGTTTGTGAAGACTTTTTTCATTAAAGATTCTGAAACTTTCTACAAACATGTTCGAGTGATAGTGAATACAGACTAACATGAATCATGTTGCAGGATTTTACAAGTTTTATCGTCTTTGAAACGTAGACGTGAGATCAAGTTTTCAAAGAGTTTTCTCGGAAAGACTTTGAAACTTAGTACCAGCGTTTAGAAAGGATAATTTCTTGGAATTAACGGAACCATTGTGTTTTACAAACATTAATTGATGGTGATCTCTAGTGTACGTATTGGTACAATTTGAACACAAATAGAGTGAATTACTATGTGTGTTTATGAAGGAACTTATGGTGGCGAGTGTCGTGAAGCAGAAGTGACTTATGTTCTATAATTTATAAGTGAGACAACCCCCGTACAGGAGTTTTAGTTAGCATATATTCGCACCTCATTCATGTTATGAGGTTGCAATATAAGACAGCTGTGTGTACCTGACAGCTGTTTCTAGATTTCGTAATGGCTGCATGGTTGGGTGTGTGTAACCAAGCTGGACTGGTAATTCTTTGATCAACCGGGATGTTGCTGATTGCAGGCCAAAGTTAGCGTACACACTGCCGCATGGTGCGTCAGCTACTCTTTGAAGTGACTTGTGGAGCTCACTCTTGATTATATTCACAAGGTTAGGCATGGGGAGTCTTGTGCTGGCTGAGAGCCATGCAGGTATAACCAGTGATTTTTCCAGTGGTACATAATGATAACTGTATAATTATTTGCTTTACCCAGTGGTACCCAATGGTCCCTTTACTTATCCGTTTATATTCAGTGGCCTGCACATTGTCATTGATATATCCTGATGATACTATATTTACTAGTGGTAACAGTGATGCCTCAACTTTGAACCAAGTGAAGTTTACAGTGTAAAGTGCTGACGTTGGCAGTGCTATAAGCTTTGATTTATAATACCGTTAGTAAACATCTGAACTGCGTGTTTCGTCGTGCACCCGCCTGGCTACTGCTGAGTGTTACCCCTTTGTGCCTTGTTGTTGTTGTTTTTTACAGTGATTGAACACTTTAGTGACTTTCCTTCATAGTTTGTGTTTACATGTGGACGAACACTTCTATAAGTTGTGACTCGTTTGGTTAGGTTGGGTTGAAAATGTAATGTGTGGACCATCGTGGCCAGGGGAAGATACTGTATTTTTCTTGCTGTTTCCAAAAGTTATCATATCGAAAGACGTTCATTAAGAGTGAAAGAAAAGTGTATTACCAGTTAGTGGCAGAAAAGTGAAGGTGCAGCTATATCTGGTGAAGTGACCCTCGCCTATCAAAAATGTGCTTAGGTTGAGTCTTGGGACACTGAAACACTGGAAACTGTCATGAAATTTGAAAACTCAGTCGTTAAGTACAGGTATATGAAAACTCAATCAGTGGATCCTTAAAACTGAATATCGATATGCTTATTTAGAAACGAGTTTTTTTGTCAATACTTTTTTAATTCTTAGATTGGCTGTCTCATACGTCGATCACTTGGGGGGGGGTATCTTTGTAGGGTTGTGACTGATGCACCAATACTCTTGCACTGAGTATGTGTGTGGGAATAGTGCCTGAGATATTGAATACTCTTAAGTGCTTCTAGAACCCCTGGAGACTAATTTACTGTTTGTGTGGTGACTCGTCAAGTGTATTATTGGAGATACAGTGTTTTAGAGTCAGTGTATATCTGGAGGCTCACTCAGTGTATTTATTGGAGACAGTCAGTGTTTTTTTTTGGGGGGGGGAGATTCATTCAGTGTAGTATTGGAGACATTCAGTGTTTTTTGGACCTAACCTAACCTATCTTGGAGACTCAGTGTATAGCCCTCTCCAGTGTATTTTAGAGGCTCTCAGTGTATATTTGGAAAGAAACGAATTTTTGAGGACCCGATTTTTAAAGACAATATAAATATTTAGACACCCAGTTTTTCAAGGCTTACTGAGTATTTTAGAGACGAAAATTACTAACACGATTTATTTGAGTGATTTTTTTTTTAATTTATCTAGTGTGTCAGAGATTTTTTACTTAGGGTATTTAGCAGTTTGACTTGAATGCGGGTATATCATGATGACTTAGCAGTTAATGGATAGTAAGGGATTTGTCAATATGAAGGAGGATTTATCAGTATAGCTAGAGGGGATAAATGCTGTGTAGGTCGTGTTGCTTTCTGAAGATTATTTTTATTTTATTTTATTTTTTATTTTTTTTATTCTACTCAGGTAATTTTTTTTCAAAGGGTAGATAGACAGTCTCTCTCTCTCTCTCTCTCTCTCTCTCTCATACACACACACACAGGCTTCCAATGATCCGAAATTCAGTCGTGTACCTTGGGATTTGACCAAAGAGTCACTATTCATTATGACTTTAGAAATTTGTTAAATGAATTAGGCCTTTATTAATATGATCTGGAGGACTTTAAATAGCAGAGGGACCTACAGTGTAATTACTTCAGTGTTTGTTTGATTTTCATGTTGATAAGGTGATTCGATTTTCAGTTTGGTTAGGTTAGGTGACCAGTATTCATATACAGATTTGTTAAAATGAAGTGAAGATTAATTTTGAGATTTTGGAAAAGAATTTACGAACCTGTTGCTTTGAGTTACTTAATTTATAAAACGACTTGGGAATTTTATGAGGTGATTTGAGAAGTTGTTGACAGTGGAGGCAGATGTACAAAAGGGCGGAGTTAGGTGTCTTGGATTATACTAACCTAACCAACCTAAACTAACCATAACCTAACCAAACCATAATCTAACCAAACCATAACCTAACCAAACCATAACCCAACCTAACCATAACCTAACCATAACCTAGCCAAACCATAACCCAACCTAACCATAACCTAACCATAACCTAACCAAACCATAACCTAACCAAACCATAACCAAACCATAACCTAACCAAACCATAACCTAACCATAACCCAACCAAACCATAAAACCATAACCTAACCAAACCATAACCCAACCTAACCACCAACCAAACCATAACCCCAAACCATAACCTAACCATAAAACCAAATAAACCATAACCAAACCATAACCTAACCAAACCATAACAACCAAACCATAACCCAACCAAACCATAACCCTCCAACCATAACCATAACCCAACCTAACCATAACCTAACCAAACCATAACCCAACCTAACCATAACCTAACCAAACCATAACCCAACCAAACCATAACCTAACCATAACCTAACCATAACTTAACCAAACCATAACCTAACCAAACCATAACCCAACCAAACCATAACCCAACCAAACCATAACCTAACCATAACCTAACCAAATCATAACCTAACCAAACCATAACCCAACCAAACCATAACCCAACCAGACCATAACCTAACCATAACCTAACCTATAAGAGACGGATGGCATTATTTGAGATATCATGATGGGGGTTTGTTGATTTTTGTGATGGTAAACTGGGCCTCTTGTGTTCTAGGGATAAATTTACCTACGATTTAAGGATTTTTAAGACCCTTCAGGGACTTACGATGACTTTGGGACCTGTTAATATGACACCAGGTTAT